AAAAAAAAAAAACTTGCGCACACCTGATTTAAAGTTTTTTAAATGTAATAATACAAACTTTGTGCTGAAAAATGGAAAAAATGGACATCACCAAACCAAACTATTTAAGCAATTTTCGTTCCCCTTTTCCATACTATTTCTGTGGCTAACCAACGCTATCATTTTCGCTGTTCGATTTTCTTTTTAAACTAAATTACCAGAGATGCATTAATTTTGTGCAATGTTCAACTCCACCCACGTACGAATAAACCCACAAGTGAAAGTTGACGATCAACATCAAGTGTCTGTTAAACCATGTAAAAAAAAAGAGCTGCTAGCGCGTGCAGGACTATATTTTTATTATTATTCTTCAAAATTAAACGATAAAAAAACATTCTTGTCAAATTTAGTATACAGATAAACACCCATCAAATACTTTCGCTTCTTACCAATAACACAATTAACGTTGAAAAGTGCACACCAAAAATAATGAAAAAATGAGAAAAAAAACGGGAATCTTTCTAAAAATTAAACCTCACCCGTTTGACAACTGTAACTCTAAACAACCCCACAAATCACCTACTGTTCACCTACCCCATATCGCATAATTTACCGCATTTCAAACACCCGCTATAAATTTCACCCTCCGCTGGCTCCCACCATTACATAATTAAAGTACTTTGGAGCAATTTACCCCCTGCAAGGAAACCAACTAAAAGTTTCCTTACCAAAAACTCACAAATGGCTTTCCTTGATAAGCTTGGAGACAAGAACAGAAACTCATGGAGTGACCTTTTACGCCACCAACCACCCATACTCTTTTTAAACACGTCCTTATGGATCCACCGCTGAGAGCCAAATTTTTAACAAACACTCACAACCAAACTTTGCCGCTCCCCTCTTAAACAAATATTGTTTAATGCCAAATGGGAAATGATATCGACAATTGAACTTATCTATTATATAGACACGACTTAGAGCATAAAAACTATTAGAGAGACCGGAACCATGCTAATTGGAAACAAGTTAAACAGACCCCCAGTAAAGCTACATCAGCAGCCTCAATCGGAAGAATGCAAAAAATGATATTCCCTTTGCCAACATTCCGTCATCTTTACCACATTGACTTAATAAAGATCTAGGAACAACGTGAAGCACCTAGTTAGACAAAGTAGCACTTGTCTTTCTTGCTGTCCCCTCCCAAAGAAGTTGAGCTGAAGAACTACTTAAACTTGCAGTGGAAATTACCTACTTTAGCAATCGACTGAAGTATTGCGTACTTTGTTAAAACAACCGCACTTTCATAAACTTCGAAACCAAAGCAATAAAAGTACCCAATAGCAAAATTATTATGAACTAAATTTTAACCTAACAGCCAATTCTAAAGCGCTTGTGAGCACAAATCTGAAAACATTTCGAGCAATCCTAAATCACCCGCAACAGAAGAAAGTAATAACTGACATCAAATGTTGATGTTTAGCAAATGGATATAAGTACATAAATCATATATAAAACAATAACTTTTGAAAAAAACGTACACAAATTTACAACGATGAAAGTACAATCAATAAAAAAAACTGGTTTTGCAACTCCACTGTTGCTGCAAAATTAGAAATCTTCAAATGACGCCATTAAATCCATCGATCTTGTTTCAACTAGTGTTGCAGTTTAAAAAACGTCCTTCCCCTTCCCCACTGCCTTCGTAGTTCATTCCATGTCTAAGTGATGCAAAAACCATCTCAAATACACCCGTACGCATTTTAACTTGATTATCTTGGGAAAGAGAAATGAGGTTATGACGTTCTCGACTGTTTTTCCCCTCGTCCTAAAACAGTAACAATGAATGAATTTTCACGAACAAACTCTTAACGAAAGAAGAACCTGAAAAGGTTTCTTTCTTTTCAGAAGTATTACGTTGACCAACAACTTCTCCACAATTACAGGAGCTTCAATGACCGATTAAACAACAAATTACAAGCCAATGCTTTCGCCACTATAAATTAAAGATAAATACCATTTCAGAGCACATTTTTGGCTTCCCTTACTGTAAATCTCCCATCCTCAAGTTAGTTCCTTTTTGCTTTTGAAAATTTGTTTTGAGACTCGATCTTTCCAAAATAAATAAAACTTCCGTCCTGCATTTCTTATCGAATACAGAAGAAAAAATTGACATTGAATATGAGAAAAAATGAAGGTGTGAAAAAAATGAACAAAAACCCACAACCACGACAAGAAAAAAGGAAAAAATTTATACTCCTTTATGACTGCACTTTGCCAAAATTTTTTAAAAAGACGCAAATGCTCTAAAAAGCAGAATGAGGCTCCACTCAACAAATTTACCCCGAGAAGGTCGAGATTTCAATAATCTGAAAAACGTTACCAACACGGAAATTTAAACAAACCAAATAATGTTAAAGATGCCTTCAAATCTTTTAATATTTACAATAACGACCTCTCTAAGTTTCCACCACAATAAAAAAAACACTTGGATAAGAACTAAAACTACTTCTATTATATTTTTGAAATAGAATAAAGTGATGGTGTATAGAAGGTAGACGCAATAAACGATAAAATTTTATTGACTATCATGGAATATAAAACTATAAGTTGAAAGAAGGAAAGCTGATGAGTGCTAACGTAGCTTGACCCAGCAAAACTTCAAAAAAGTAAAGTGAATTTTATAAAAAATATGAAGACCAACCTCAGGTAAGACGTCCCAAAAACGGATAACATGCTCAAGACCAGAAGTTGCTAGCAAGCACGACGAAGGATGCGGTTGAACGCAATTTAGTATATTTTTATCGGCTTCGTATGCTTTTACAAGAACACCAGATTTCCTCTCCCAAACCAACAACGAGCCACAATCACTACCGGCTGCGATATACTCGTCTCGTCCTCCGAACCAAACCGCTTCCTACATATAAGTCAATTAACAAAAATGAAAAAACAACAACTATGTAACTTAGAGAAGAACAGAACTTTAATATCCGTATTAGTATTGCAGTGTCCACAGAGCCGCTGCACATAGTCTGCAGTACCATTCGAAACCCATTTAATAGAATTCTCACGCTTCTCGTTCAACAGCTTCTCCAAACTACCACAAGAAGTATCATTTGGAAAGCGATCCTAAAAGTAATCAGTAAAGTACAATCCCTGCCATAATCAGATTGTGATCAAAATCTGACAAAACAAAAACCTTGAAAAGCTGCAACATTTCTCCTGCCATCTCATATTGTTTTAGTTCATACAACGACTTCACTATCCGATAATGAGCCTTGATATTGTCAGGGTCCAATTTTAGGGCTCGTATAGTGTCCAAAAGGCAAGCATAAATATCACCCTCCCATCCTCGTCGAAGATAACTTGCACCACGGTTTGACAGCAAAAGACATAAATCACCGGCACAACTTTCCTGCGAATCGCGACCTTTACTGAAAAACCAATTTACTCTAGAACTTTGAAAGTAGTAACACAATTAAAAACGGTCCACAGCAAAAGGCAAAAAGATCCTTTAAAACGCATAACCGCCTAAAAGAAAATAGAATGCAGAACCTCCATAAACGGTCGCATTCTGCTATTGCGGTACTGTAAGCATCAATGGCATCTGCGTAATCCTGGTTGCCAAAATGGATTTTCGCTCGTTCTCGGAGTTTTTTAAACCGGGCAGTTGGTTTTCGACACAAGCACCCGTTTTTCCCAGAAGGGACGCTTTTCGTGAGTATGTCCTTCAAAGATTGAAGAGCGTCTGGTTCCTCCACTCTAAAACGCTAGAAAAGCGTAAAAAACTTTCAACCTTTCTAAATGAAATTACTTGTCAAAAACGTTGAAGATGTATATCTGTTCGCCTCCGATATTAACAATTAACTCGTTTCCGACATTGTTGAACCCCACATGAGTAACCGAAAGTGATTTAAAAGATCGCATCGGGTCTGTTAAGGGTATATGAGCTGAAAAACTAAGAATATAACAATAAGTAAGAACCTATTGTTTTAAAGAACAAGTCCTCTAAGAACTTTTTGAACTACATTTTGAACAAATAGTTGGCTATAACTTAGTTAAGACTGATAATGCAAAAATATACCAGGGATAAGAGTTAATAAAGGTCTCGATACATTTCTGCGATCATACAACGGTACTCCAGCTTCGTTAAGGGCAACAGCAAGCATTTCTGGTCTGTTTTCATTCAAAGCTAACGATTTGCACTCTTTATTTTCGAAAGTTAACAGCTCTGTAGAAGCACAAGTACGAGTGTCGTATTCTCTTAAACGAAATATATGACAGTACGTTTAACAAAACTGAAAATTTCACATAATCCATTTATGGCATTAAAATTCCTGTCGTACGGCAACCCTGACCTCATCTTCTGATGT